TTTGCTTAACACTGATCAAAATTGTGTTTCATATTTAGTTTAAAGGAGGTAGTTTTTGTGTGAAAAATCCAATGTTCGAGTCTTTCACTTTCACTTTGGACTTTAAAATGTGGCACGCAGGACCAAACACCAGAGCTGGCAGTCCCTCAGAAGAACTTTGCTCACCACACCAGAACACCCGCCAACCACCCACTCAGACAAACCACTCTCACCACCCACTCACCTGCTCCCTAGTGATGTCAATGTTGGCCACCATCTCGTCCACTTCACTCAGACTGGACAGTGAGCTGCGTGTCTCCAGGGGCGCACCCCGACCGCTGTGACTGCGACACTCCAACCTACGGCAGCAAAAATAACTTTGTACAAACTCTGTGTAGATCACAAACTGTACCCACCCCTACAACAATTTTATACAAACTCTGTGTAGATCACAAACTGTACCCACCCCTACAACAATTTTGTACAAACTCTGTGTAGATCACAAACTGTACCCACCACAGTAACAATCAACGGGGAAATTACAACAATTTTCTACAACTCTGCGTAAAAACTACAACCATTTTATTAATTTACATAAACTCTGGTTAAATGAGAAACTGCACTTTTGACATCAAGATTAAACAGGAAAAACAACAGCAATTTTCTACAAACTCTGTGGAAATCACTCTGGGGAGATCAGAAACTGCACTTTTGAAATCAAGATTAAACAATAAAAGACAACTACAATTTTATACAAACTTTGTGAAGATCATAAACTGCACTTTCAACAAAACCAAACTTTATGTGCGGTGCATTCATAACATCCAATTACGTGACAACAAACGTTCCATCGTGTGTGTGTGTGTGAGTGTCTGTGTGTGTGTGTGTGTGTATGTGTGCAGGAAGAACAGACTCACCCCTGCCATGCGATGGCGTCCTGTACCTCGTCCTTGAGGTGGTCGGGGAGTTCGTCAAACACGTCGCTGTCCTGTAGATGTTGGTGATCCACCACGTAGCTCAGAGCCCAGTCCTGGCAACGGCACAACAAACGCTTTTTAAAGTTTTTTTGTTTTAGTAAGAGTTTTACGGCATTCTCAACTGCATAAGATCATACGAGCACACGAAACACAAGCTGGTTGCATTCACAACAGTTCACTGCACGGCTTGGCTTAGGTCAGTGATCAGATTTGTCAAATATTAAAAACTCACAGTTCACTACGTTCATGGCATGACGAAAACGTGACAAGGGAGACAACTCACCCTCAGACTGCGACTGTTGAGGTGGTCGGCCAGGTTGAGAAGGCACAAGGCGTTGTCTTCATCGAGGTGAGACTTGAGCTCAAACTCACAGATGTGCTTCAAACTGTCCATCTGAGGGGGGAAGAGACAAAGACATAGTTACCACTTCCCACTCTCACATCCCAGGGGAGCAGCTCAACGTATCACAACTTGGGCTTTTCTCAAAAATCACTTTCTTTAACAAATCGCGACATCAGTGCTTTTTTGTCATATCTCCATTTTTTTCAACATTGAAAACAATTCATAACAAAGAGTGAGCTTGAAGTCACATTTTCAATGTTTAAAAAAAAATGGAGATATGACAAGAAAGCACTGAGGTCGCGATATTCTTAAGGCACTTGGAAGATTGGGTATGCCCTGCAAAAATTTCTGAGCCCTGCCCTAATTTTGTGAAAATAGACTTAAACCTTTGAGCCCGTCGTGCCGGTACACCGGCGGCGTGCTTCGGCAATAATAGTCCGTAGCACCCGTTCACCGCTGTGAGGAAAGAGCGCTGAATTAATGACGGGCAGAAAATGTCAGCAATTTTCTATCAGCCCACATGCTAGTTTCTGGCAACATGCAGTGTATATGTGAGCTGGTGCTGTCAAAAGTATCTACATTACTATTTGACATATTCCATACCGGTATAGAATAATTGTCTTATCAAAAGTTATCACCCACTCAACAGCATGAGTACAAAAAAATTACTCAAAGACCATTTCAACGTCTATCACTGTACTAAAAAATGGATTTTTCCTCCCCAGAATGTAGCAAAGTGTTGCGAAGGAGGAGACACTGACCTCATATCTATCACAGAGAAGGAGACACTGACCTCGTATCTATCACAGAGAAGGACACACTGACCTCGTATCTATCACAGAGAAGGAGACACTGACCTCGTATCTATCACAGAGAAGGACACACTGACCTCGTATCTATCACAGAGGGTCATCATGTCCGCCAGTTGCTCGGCGGACAGTCCGCTGGTGTCCAGACAGCCGCTGTACAGAGACTCCAGGAACTTGCGGAACAGCTCCGGGTTCGTGTCGTGAACCACGATCTTTCTGTGGGAGGAAAGGAACATGAGACAGTTTGTTAGTGTTTGGGTGCTTAATCTACTGCTTGCACTGTATGCTTCCCAGGAAGCCGGGAATGTTTCTGAGTTTTCTAGGGTCTGCTGGGGGAATGATACAGATGGTACTGTGCATAGAGCTTGCTACAGGGTGGGAATATGCCCTCACGGGTAAAAGTTGGTCACCACCATTTTGCCTGAAAATTTTTAAACAAATAGCATCTCAAGGGGCTTTGCCTGAAAAGATAATCGAATCATCCCTGTACTGTCGATTTATATCCTAGAATGTCTGTTTATGTCTCCATAGGTGGACTGGCATCGTGACCAAACAATTCGATTCTTTATCATTGGACAACCAAAACACAGATTTGAATCCTGCATGGGAAGAATTATTAATACAGTTTTTCTGTCTGCTGAGACCCTGTGCCTCCCCCCCCTCCCTCAAGCGTGGGTTGGTCCTAACAGGCAACGTTGAAGCAGTCTCCAAACTGCTCCCAGATGATCTAAATGCAGAGATGCCACTAGACTTTGGTAAAAATAACGGAAAAATTGTTCGAGACTAGATTTAGCATGTGACGAAGCAATAAATGCAACAAAACATCATCATATCATTCCAACAATATAACAAAGTTCCAAATGAACGATGCCCAAAATATCGGGAAAAAACCGGAAATAACGAAAAATGGCATCCCTGTAAATGGTAGCAATGCGGGTGTAAAATGTTCCCAAAGATGGCAGAAGGCTGGTGGTAGACAAACCTGTTGATGGCTTCCTTCATGCCGCTGAGCAAGGCACGGCGGAACCAGTCACACTGAGCGGCCAGGATCACCCGGTGTGCTCGGATCTCCACAACCTCCTCCTCCTCCTCTCCTCCCTCCCTCCCCCCTCCTCCCGCTGCCTCTGCCCTGGCCCCGCTGTCGTGAGAAGAGCCGGTGTGGTCTATCACGATGTCTCCTCCCTCTGGGAAGGAAAAGAACAGGACAGTTCATCAGACACTTGGTTCCTAGATTAGTGTAGTTTTAGTAAAGGATTTACAGCACTTGCAACACAATAAGGCACTACTCTGCCAGTTCTCAACTCTACATGGAGAAACATAAAGGAGATTCAAACAATCTAGGATACAGAGCAGTCAAAATCTCTAGAAGAAAGACAAATAGGGTAACATATTTAGGACAAGCTAAGGAGACCACTCTTCTACACACAACCTTGAATGGCGACAAAAATGAATCATCATCAGCTGGTCCACAGCAGCCACAAACCTGCACTTGTCACTACATGGTCACTGTAGCTCAACTGTTGCTACATCAACAACAACATCAACAACAACATCATCAACAACATCAACAACAACAACAACATCAACAACAACAACATCAACAACAACATCAACAACAACAACATCAACAACAACAACAACAACAACAACATCAACAACAACATCAACAACAACCATCTGTCATCCTTATTTCTCTTTTCTTTCAACTGCATATTATTCTCTTGTAGTAAAACCTTGAATCTTTGCAACTTGTTTGACCAATTTGAGTTGCAAATGCCATAAAACTTAATAAACTAAAATCTGCACAAGAGCAACAAAAAAAAGGTGACAATAACAACAACAACAGCCACAACAACAGCCACAATTACACAGAGCTTACCCTGCATAGCGACCACCTCAAACACCACTGCAGTGACAACAACAACAACAACAACAACAACAACAGCTTACCTTGCGTAGCGTCCACCTCAAAGACCATGCCTGTCCAAACAACACCAAAAACAACTTACCCTGCGTAGCGTCCACCTCAAAGACCATGCCTGTCCAAACAACAACAACAATAACACCACCACCACCAACAACAACTTACCCTGCGTAGCCACCACCTCAAAGACCATGTCCGTCCCCGCAGCCTGTCGGAACAGCTCCAAACAGCGGCGTGCTGTACAGCTACTGCTGGCGTTGGGGGGGACGCACAGGGAGTCCACGCAGCTCAGCTGAGACGCACGGAGAATAGAAATTATAATAATATAATTATAATGATAATAACTATTATTAATATTAAATATTATTATCATTATTATTCG